AACAATAACAAGGACAATAACCTTTGAGAAGATCTGAAAGAGAGAAGGTAGAGTCCACGAGGTATCCTTATTCAGAATATATCCTCGTCACTGATGAGGGGGAGCCAGAGAGCTTCAAGGAAGTGTTGTCTCATCCAGAAAAAATTCAGTGGATGGAGGCCATGCGAGAAGAGATGGATTCTCTACTGAAGAATGACACGTATGAACTGGTTGAACTTCCAAAACTTAAAAGATCGCTTAAGCGCAAGTGGGTCTTTAAGCTTAAGAAAGATGAAAACGGCAAGCTGGTTAGATACAAAGCTCGATTGGTGGTAAAAGGTTTCGAACAGAAGAAAGGTATTGATTTTGATGAAATTTTCTCACCTGTTGTCAAAATTACTTCTATTCGTACAATCTTGAGCTTGGAAGCTAGCCTAGACTTGAAGTGGAGCAGTTGGACGTAAAAACTGCGTTTCTGCATGGAGATTTGGAAGAAGAGATCTATATGGAGCGGCAAGAAGGTTTTGGAAAAAAGGCAAAGAAACACATGGTGTGCAAGTTGAAAAAAAGTCTTTATGGGCTGAAATAAGCGCCAAGGCAGTGGTACAAGAAGTTTGAATCAATCATGAGAAGTCAAACGTACACAAAGACTTTTTCAGATCCATTTGTATACTATAAGAAATTCTCTAACAATAACTTTATCATCTTGTTGTTATATGTGGATGACATGCTGATTGTAGGACAAGACGAGAAGTTGATTGCCAAGTTGAAGGACGATTTGTCCAAGTCATTTGACATGAAAGACTTGGGTCCAACACGACAAATTCTAGGAATGGAGATTTCCGTGATAGGACAAATAGAAATGTGTTTCTGTCACAACAAAAGTATATTGAACGTGTACTTAAATGCTTTAACACGATGAGCGCTAAACCAGTTAGCACGCCTCTTGTTGGTCATATGAAGTTGAACAAGACTATGTGTCCTACAACAAAGAAAGATAAAGAAAGTATGGCTAAAGTTCCATATTCCTCTACCGTCGGGAGCTTGATGTATGCAATGGTATGTACTAGACCTGATATTGCTCATGCTGTGGGTGTTGTTAGCAGGTTTATTGACAATCGAGGGAAAGAATATTGGGAAGCTGTGAAGTGGATACTCAAGTATCTAAAAGGAGCCTCGGATGAATGCTTGTGTTTTGGGAGATCAGATCCAGTTTTATTGGGCTATACAGATGGTGATATGGCCGATGATACTGATAATAGAAAATCCACTACTGGATATCTATTTACTTTCTCAAGGGGAGCTATATTATGGCAATCTAAATTGCAGAAATGCGTCACACTTTCAACAACTGAAGCAGAGTACATCACCGCTACATAAGCTGGCAAGGAGATAACATGACTCAAGCGGTTTCTTCAAAAGCTTGAATTGCATCAAAAGGGGTATATCGTCTATTGTGACAGTCAAAGTGCAATAGACTTGAGCAAGAACTCCATGTACCATGCAAGAACAAAACATATTGACATAAGATATCATTGGATTCGTGAGCAATACCACTTGCTCACAAATCTTTTTGAAGGTCAAAAAGATTCACACGAGTGAAAATCTTGCGGATATGTTGACCAAGGTAATACCAAGAGACAAGTTCGAGCTATGCAAAGAACTTGTCGGCATGAACTCTATATGAAAACTGGAGTTACCTCCTTCAGGTGCATGAGACTGGAAGGGGAGATTTGTTGGGTCCATCCCATGGCCCATGTGAAAGAAGAGAAATTTCCTTTGGCTTTGAGATTTCAAGCCAACCAAATCAATAGTAGAAAATATTTGGGCGGGCAATTATTCTTTGATTTCACATGGAGAAGCTGACTTTTGCAATAGATATTGATGTCATTATATACATTATCGTGGGCATTCTGCAACTATAAATAGGTGCCTTTACTTTCATTTGTAAACACACAAAACAAATAAAGTAAGAGAAATTTCACAGTGTAAGCAGAAAAATACTGTGTGAGTAAAAATATAGAGAGTTTGGGCACTATTGTAGTGAGATGGAAAAAGCAAAAGAGGGTTATTTATTTTGAGTGTGTTGTGGTTTTGGAGTATTTTACTATTGAAAGGATTTTATACTTTGTGGTAGCAAGTAAAAAATCTCGTTGTCCTTGTTTGTCTTATTATTACCATTGGTTACTGTATTTTAGTAATCTGCATTTATTACAGTCATATACCGTGAATATTATTTTTGTGAGGGTTTATTTCTCAACATTAGCTACCCCACCTTCTATATGGAATAGCTAATTTCATAATTTTTGTGTAAAAATTATTCCGGAATTAATTAATTTCCTAAGCTAAATATAAAATAAAGTTAATCCCAAACTTTATCGCAAAATTATTATCCTTATTCCAAGTAACAAACGTCTCTATGAATTCAACTTTAAAGATTTTACGCATTGAATTAGTTGAAAAGTAGCTCTTATTGTAATTTTTTAGCACTTGGTATGTGCAAAGCCGTGTCGGTGCGGAGCACTGTTTACAATGAAGCGTACCAATTTGTGCAACGAGAAAACAACAAGAAATATTAACAACTCCTCCTTTATTTGATGCCACGTACAATTTTATAAGAGGTGCGTTCACTATCAGTTTATGAGTTGGATATCGTGTGTCTTCCTCTGTGAAAACGACACCCCAGGTTTTCTTTTTATTACTCCCTCCAGTCCAAAATAAGTGATTTTTTTAGATGTTTTCACATAGATTAAGAAATCCACCATTTAGTATTAATTAACAATGGAAATGACCATATTAACCTTTACTATCTCACATAAACACTCCTAACACATATTCCAACACTATTTACTCCAAGGACAATGTAGGAAAGAAATAATTAATTCATTCTTGAGATCTGAAAAAATCACTTATTTTGGACCACAAAAAAAATGCCAAAAAATTACTTATTTTGGACCGAAGAAAGTATTATTTTTGATTCCTCTTTGATTTCTTTTATTGGAGTTATTACTCCTTTGGTGATTCGAACCCATAACTCTGAAGTTGTAGGTAAGAGTAGTGACCACCTACAATAGTGGAAGCTTTTACTAGTAAAATCTAATTACGTATTTTTTTTAATTACGGGTTTAGATTTATTGTTCTTACAATAGTAATTCTTTTGTTGAAAAAAATAATTTTTTATGTATAAATTTATATTTCGCATCAAAAGTATTGAGTTCGGATAAACTTGATGATGCAATGTTGCATTCAGGCCATCTCCAATGGTACTCTATTTTTTGCACCAAATCCAAATTTGGTGCAAGAAATAGAGTAAAATTGCTCCAATGGTCTCCATTTGTTGCTCTATTATAGAGCATGAATAATGTTGCACCAAATTTGGTGCAACACTATTCATTACTCTATATTTGGTTTAATAATATTTTATTCATTTTTTTATTGTTGAACTTTTAATTAATTATATATTGTGTATATAATTAACTTTTATATTAAGATTTTTATAATTTTAATTTTATATCCTATTTTTTGATATATTAAGTTTTGTATATATTATATTTATATATTATTTTATATCCTACGTGATATAATGACCACATGTATTATACTGCACAACATGATAATTGAGGACGAGCGTGATCTTATTGCACCAATTGAAGATGCGCGTGAATGTCCAGCTCCTACGGTAGAAATGGTAGTAGATCAAGATCACCGATTTGAACAATTTTTAATTCGACACAAAAAAATTAAGGATAAAGATGCGCATTTCGCACTTCGTAATGCATTAATCGAGCATTTATGGGAGAATAGATGCGAAAATTAAATATTTATGTGGTACTTAAATTAAATTTGACTATGATGTAATATTTATTTAATTATGTTTTATTAATGATTTCACTTTTTGTTAATTTATCCTTTATGTAAAATTTTGTAATAAATGATTATATAAGTGATGAATGTGAATTATATATAATGAATATGGAAAAAAGAAAAAAGATAGTATTAGTTTGAAGGAAATAAAAAATGAAAAGTAAATAGAAGATAATAATATAATATAGAAGAGAGAGAAAATTTGGTGTAAAAAATAGTGTGATTGTTGGAGTAGATTTGGTGTTGCACCATTTTAGAGTGAAAAATGATGCAAAAAATAGAGTGATTGTTGGAGATGCCCTCAGGGGGCACAAGCCAATTTATGGGTTCAGCTTAACCCATTAACTTTTGCTTAAACAATGTATTTGATGTTTAAAATTCATTAAATATATAAAAATATAAAATTTAGAACCTAGTCACTACACTTGAAATCATTGTTCTAAAATGCATTATACGTAAGGTTGAAATTCTAGCTCCGCCTCTAATTGCATCACCCTTTGATTATTAGATTGATCCGAATTTATAAATAGTCCCAATTTAAGTGACAATATTTGAGTGAAAATGAAGTGACTTTTTAAACTTTAGGTCCAAACATCTCATTGACATTTTTCTGGGTATGACTTATTATCGAAAAATTAAAAATTAAATTATTTCTAAACAGATTAAAAAAAATACTAGTATCTCTTGATTTTCTCTACTATGTACGAATAGGTTTTATATGCTATGTATATCAGTATATGTACTTGATATATATGGAGAAAGGTGCACCCGTGACATACTTATTAGCGAATAATCATAATGTCTCCCCTTTTATATTCTTCTTCTTATATATATTCCTCCAAAATCAAGGCTTTTTGGAAAAATCTGTTATTCATTAGATTACATTCTACTATTATTGATCAGGGGTTGAGCCAATACTGCTGTTAAAGCGGCTTCACAACCAAAGTATGAGGCTCTATCATCACAGCAGCCATAGAAGTGGCACAATGGCTGGTGTTTTTCTGCTACTTTTGCCCATTTTCTTTCCCAGTTTTTTCACTCCTTTGAGCCATGCTTCGCCTTCCATTTTCTCGGTATGTTTCCGAGAAGTTTTATTTTGTGTCTCATAATCCTTACACTAGTTGTATGAGGCTCTTTTTTGTCTCACAAATTTGTGGACCCCAATCTTACACCTCTGGGTCCACAGAAATCTGGGTCCACAAAACTGTGAGACAAAAAAGTTGCCTCATACAACTAATTTCAGTCGTATTAGACACAAAATAAAATTTTCCGTATGTTTCCTGTTGTATCTCACTCTGTAATTTTTCTGCCTTTTTGTCACTAGAAAAATGTATGGAACCTATTGTGTTAGACAAATTACTGACTATTGTAATGAAACAAGTATAAATGGAATAGAATAGATATTGAGAATTGGTGCCCTGAAGACTTTGGTTCAGTGGTTAGAGGCAGCAGCGGCGGAGCCATGATTTCGATTCAAAATATAAAAAAAGTAAACACACAAAAAAGGAGCCTAGTGCACAAGGCATCCCGCGTTCACATTGGGTTCGCGGAAGCGCTGCACCCCAAGGGGTGTAATGTAAACAGCCTATCATGATGCAAGCATTAGTGGCTGCTTCCACGGCATGAACCCGTGACCTATACGGAGACAACTCGAACCCATGACCTATAGATCCTCAAAATTTCTCAGTTACACCAAAAAAGAAAAAGGAAAAAGATACTGAGGGTTGGTACAGCTTACTCCTAGAAGTTTGGGATTGAAGTGTTATTGGTTGCAAATACTCATATATCCATTGCTGTTTCTTCAATGACTTTTTTCCTTCTAAGTTGTGCTGTTTTTTCTTTCACTTTTTGGCTTCATTAAGGTCTGTTGGGAATAAAGGAAACTGATTCCTGGGGATGGATAGAAAAGCATAAGAATACCATCTTTGAAGTGAAAATGGTATCTGAGTAAGATTAGATTCTTTGGAGGATCAATTGAAGGGGTTAAATTGTAAAAACTAGGTGTGTCGCATTTAATCTTTGGGTGTAGAAGGCGAAGTGGTTGGATGAACAGTGATGTTGAAACGAAACCAGAAAGTGTATGCTTGTCAATTTTAGGCAGTCAAACTTATAAAGCTTCAGAAGTAAGGGTAATCTGGTGGATTCGGCAATTGTAGAAACTTCCGGTTTACTGTCTTGCATATGAATGACTGATGATTTTTGTTCGGTAGATTTGCTTGATGCCCAGCAGTATCTTTCAGTTTTAACCCCTATGAAACTGGCAGAAGAAATATTGTTATCTTGGAATCTGGCTGGCATTGTTTTACAATACAAACTTGTCTTTTCTTTTGTAAAGAAGGGTTTGCCGATTTGTTAAGTTGGATACTTTGGCTTGGACCATCTATATGCCATCTTTTTATCCTGTGCATGAAGATGGTATTTGTCTGGTAATTAGGAATGCACAATGCCACTCTGTCTAACTGTAGAGAAGAATTGTTTAGTCCACTGGAAAATATGAGTTCTCAAAGTTGGATTTGTTTGCTCGATCATCATTAGTTGTTAAAATAAATGACAGTTGTTTGGTCAGATAAATACTGTGGTAGATGTTATTCACAGTGGGTATAGCATTTAAGTTAGTTCACCATACTCCTGTTTCAAGTTGAAGAAAGCCACAATTACTTAGGTTTTGCATAATTTTCACACTTCTTAGCCCAGAAAACAGTAAACTATTGTTTGCCATTCTAACAGTTGCTGACATGATTCACCAAACAAAAACTACTAATCACTGTTCAATGTTTTCTACCTTCATCTGCGTTTCGAACTATTTAAAATGAAGCTAGATAATGCCATACATCAGTAGAAATAAAATATCCACGTGGTTTCCTTGCCTGGAAAGTCTTAATCCTGCAAAAATGGTAAAGCAATTGAAAAGCAATGATAATTTTAGGTCTGCATAACTCTTCTGAAAGGAACCTAACAAGGCAGCATTTCTAACTAAGAGAACATGATATTGCCGCGAACGTAGAAGTTGCTATGAATAGCTTCTGACTACAAAGAGAACGGAACTCTAGTAGAACAAGAGATGATACAGATAAATTGGAGTGAACAGCCTAAGTGAAAAGTAGATTCCTTTCTCTTAATTCTTTATCTGCATTGAATAAAACTTTGACAACTTGGGAATACAGTCAATTTGTGCCTGCAAGTACATACTTTTGGTTGTCACTACACAATTTTACTTGCACCATTTATCAAAGCCCGATTCTTAAGGCAAAATTTATATCCGTAATCCTGTTTGCATCCGCAGGAGTGGAATGCTCCAAAACCCAGGCACTCACGTCTTCTGAAGAGTGCTCTACAACGCCAAACTGTGCGTAAGATTGCATTCATTTGTTCCTCCAAATTTTACTCATATTGCCCAGAGAATGGTAGAAGGATCTCTTATTTGATTCTTCTTTTTCATGTAGTCATCTAAAGAACAGTCTGACCTTTGGATGCCTTTGGCCTACCAAGGATGGAAACCCTGTACTGAATCTGTCACCGCCTCTTGTGAGTGTCTATGGATCAGTTCTAATGCACTTCAACTTTCATGTGTCGTTTCAAGGATCTCTGTGCAGCATTCTTTAGTTTCAAGGATCTCTGTGCAGCATTCTTTCTTTTCGTAGCATCAACGTTATCTGTCATGGGCGGCTTTCCAGCCATGCCCCATGACCCCTTGGGCGCGCCCCGTGGCGTCCTAGCGAACCTCCCAATGCCTAGCGCCACGGACGGCCCCGTGGTCTTGGCCGCGCCAAGTGACAAGCGCGCAGGTGCCTCTGTCGCCCCACCGATATTCCTCGCGAGCGCCATGCCGCAGGCAGAAGCCAACAGCGCCGCGCGCGCAGACCGTGATGCCAAAGACACTGCTGCTGACAACGGGCCTGCTGCTGCCTTATAGAAAACTAAGTCATTTTCATTGTAAATATAGAGTAGTTTATTTCATGCACTTCCATTATGTTTCTCTAGCTTAATTAGGTCTACTCCTGTAACTTTGGTTTATTTTTTTTAAGTACTATTAGGGGGGATCAAGCAATCAAAACTTTCTAGCAAGCAAGCAATTCTCTGTACTGGTGTCTCTCCCCCTCGACACCGCGTTGCTTTTCTGTAATAGCTTTCATTAATGCAATCAAGCTTTCTTTCATTCTGAATTCTCATTTCTGTTCTCTCAATTGCTCTTGACATTGGTTTTCCCGTACGGCACT